TCCTAGTTTTCATCAGGCGGCATTGCGACATGAAGCGATTATGCATTCTCCTCTCGCCTCACCCTTCAGGAAACTGAAACACAAAAACAAACAAACTAAGAAGAGCGCACCGGGAAGCAGCAGGCACAGAGAGGACCGACACTCTTTGGGATGAAGGTTTTCTACAGTCTCTTCGCCAGAAAGATGAGGGGTACATTGAAAGTTTTCCGGAGCATCATCGCAAGCAAAATGAAAAAAACTCGTTGCATCTGAGGGTTGTCTAGAGCATGGTTGCCAGCAAGATGAAGGGGACACTGTTTGCGACTGAACGGCTTTCTAGCGCATTATCATCAGAAAAGATTAGCGGGCCATTCCTTGCGATTGAAAACTTTGTAGGTCATCTTCACCGGAAAAAATGAAGGGGACAATCCTTCTGACTAAGGATCGTGTAAAGCATCTTCTCCAGAAAAATGAATTGAACCTTGCGATTGGAGTGTTTGAAGTTTGAACTTCGTAGAGCATGATCGCCAAACAGGTGAAGGGGACACTCGGTGCGATTGAAGAGCATCATCGCCAGGAAAGATGAGCGGGACACTCCTTGCCATTGAAGGGTTTTTCGGGGCATTATCACGAGCAAGATAAAGGGGACACTGCCTGCGTTTCCGGGTCTTATAGAGCATCATCGCCCGAAAGGATGACGGGGAGACCGCTTGCGATTCAGGCTGTTCTGGAGCACCATCGCTGGGAAAGATGGCTTGCTTGCGATTGAAGGGTTTCCAGAACATCATCAGTGTAAAACATGACGAGTGCTTGCGACTGAGGATTTTCGGGAGCATCGTGGCCAGAAAAGATCATCGCCAGAAAACATGAGGGAGTCCCCGGTTGTCTAGAAGATGAGGCGGACACTCCTTGCGATTGAGGGCTTTCTAAGCATGATTGCCAGCAAGATGAAGGCAACACTCCTTGTGATTCAGGGTTTTGCAGGGCTTCGTCGACAGATCATGGCCAGAAGAGATTAAGTTAAGGGCGCGATGCTTGCGATTAAACAGGACCATCCACGGTACCGTTACGTGGAGCACTGATATGCAGGCATCGGTCCAGCCTACCGAAAGACATCTACAAAAAGGTACGCTAGCACTTGTGTGTTACAGAGTGCAGGCATGATGTAGACCATGTCCGCGACATGCAGCGGCCGCCAATGATTCAACATAGTTGGAACTTTCCATCTTCCGAAATTCAAACTCGAAACACAGGGACATCATTCGGATTCGTAACCCTGTAGCTGAGCAGGGCTTGTTGTCATCAGAAAACATGTCTAGGTGTACACTCCTCGAGCGGAACCAACATACTCACTCCCGCAGTTTTGTTTTTGGCTTCGCATCGCGCGAAGGGGTGCTGATGAGAGCGCTTTGCACGGTGTGCCTCCACCCAATATGCCGCAAGGCAGGAGCTGAACAAGAAACAACAAATGCCGCTGTGATCCCTCACTCTCATTTCTGGACATCATTCGGATCCGCAACCCAGGTGAGCAGGGTCTCTCCTCGTTGATAAGGCCTGTGCCAGCTTTGTCGATGGCACGGAATACGCCCTCCAGCTTCGCAATATCCTCGTTCCGCTTCTTCAAGCGGGTTACCACCATGTGCTCCGCATCGTTTTGAACCACATCTAAGGTGTCCTGCCGGGCTCAAGGCTTGAAGATCCTGGGTCTGCTTGCCAGTACCTAACATGTCCCTGTGTACTCACATGCCCAATTTTGCCTTCAGAAAAATCGCGGATATAACACGGATCAGCGCGAAAACTATGATAGTGATGTACACAAGGAAGAACAACGCAAAGATGTTGTCAGCCTGCAGGACAGGATGCCCTCAATTTCCTTGAAGTCTCATCGGGGCTCGTCGGTCACCGCGTGATAAAATTTTAGATACTCGCTTATGCCACTTTAGCTGGATGGCGGTAGGGGTGATGATTTCATTAGCCACGTGAGCCAGGGTGTCGAAGGGCCAACAGATCATCGCCCTGAACTCTTATCACGGTGTACAGACCAAGCAGCTTTCTCCATGACCGGGCGTGCATTCGTGGGCCAGTTCCCTGCGCAAGCACAAGGCAATCTGCGGGCTGGCTGCTAGGCCTGTTGCCCTTGGAGGTTCACTACCGTAGCGCAAACGGCTGCTCACATAAAATCTCTACATGACTGTCAACTGTCGCTCCTGCGAAAGTCACTTCATAAAGTGTCCATGATGATCTCTGCGAGGTACCTTGCGGCTGTGGCCAACTAGACCAACAGAACCGGGCACCTTACTCATCTTCATGGGTTTACTACTCGATCGCTCTCCTTGTGCCCTTGTCCTATCTGGTCCTAGGTCCTAGCTGCCCGCTAAGCTCTCTGCTTGGCCCTCGTCCTAGCTGCACTAGCTCTCGCTAGCTCTCTGTCTCTTGCATTTCAGGGGTGCCATAGTGATCCCACAGCCACTGCCGGTCTTCGTGCTCGAGAGTGTCATCCAGAATGTACACTTGCAACGTGTTCCCCAACGTCAGCGCTCCCATGGCCACAAAGACGGCGAGAAGGACCATGGACCAGAAAAGCGACGGAAGGAAGCAGCGACAGGCTTTGACGAGCACTCGGAGCCCGCGCACGAAGCGGAAGCTCCGCAGGATGCGGACAGCCCGAAGGGATTTCAGAGCTCGGGTCAGCTTCAGTAGGGCGATGTCCTGTGAGTCCACACAGCAGGGCTCTTCCTTCCCGAGCCCAACATTACCAAGAGCGGTCCTCATCCCGCACGGCACCTCCGGTGAAAGGCCTGCTGATGATCATGTCTATCACGCCGAGCAGCACCAAAACACCATCAAAGATGTTCGCCAGGTCCTTCAGGGCGACATGCCAATCGCGGCTCGGCACCGCATTGATGCGGCACGTTCATGGCAAGTTCGTTTTGCTGTTCAAGATAACGTATTCCGGGATCCCGGTGGAATTGTCACTTTGATTCTTTGATCCTGGGAAGTTGGGAGGCCCCCTCTGTTTGGGCGGGGTAGAGAGTCCGGGGTAGAGACCTAGAAGCCCAAGAAGCCCAGCCCAGCTCCGGTCCAAGCAGAACTTGAGTCGCTCGAAGAACAGCCGAAAAACCAACTCCAGCAGGAAGACGAGAACGAAGACGGCATCGATGCCACGCAAAACAGGGAGGTAGGCTCTCAAATCCTCGCCAGAGGGCAAGTCAATTTCAAAGGCAATGGATCGACCTTCGACTTCCAGCTCTGCGATTAAAACCACGGAATTGAGGAGAACCATTACTCCGGCGACATAGTCGATGTGTCGCTTCACCAATTGGACGAAGTTGGCTCGGAAAGAAAGAGGCTGCATTGCGTCTTGCAACAAATTCTGCACATCATGGGTTACCTGCGATTTCCGCCGTGGCTTGCTGGGGGTTGAGGAAGCGTTCGCCGAAAATGTCTGTTCCACTGGATCCTCGTCGAGGACGCTGATGTCCCAACTACCGTCGGCAGCATTGCCATCTTCCGGTAGAGGAGGAAGAGGAGGAGGAGGAGGGGGAACAGGATCAACAGTTTCCGGCACGTCAGGCTGCGCAGTTCGAAGGCCTTTGCCAACGTTCAGCCCGATCTCCGACGACGGAGCGGCCAGGGCGGGAACTGAGCTGGGATGGAGTCTGAGGGCATGTCCAGATGTTGCAGGAAGACTTCCTTAGCACTCGCAGTCCCCCCCCTGCGAGGACTATGCACAGCTGAGTTGCTCTTGGCTGGTTGCTCATTGCTTCCAGGGCAACCCGCATGCCTAATCCCCACACAACCACAATGAAGCAAATAAGCCAGGAATGCTTCAACACAACACCAACACTGCAAGTTCGAACGCGTTTCGAACCAACAATTAGCAAAGCAATTGTCGACCGGTCTGTTTCTGCTTTCTTTCGCCCGGTCCGTTTCCCTGACTCAGGGCCAGGCCCATGTAAGAGTCCAGTCTCTCCCATGCAGACTCCAGGGCGCTGCGCCAGGATTCATGTTCCTTCAACTGTGTCTAGTCTTTTTGCATCAGGACTTGTGCAATCGCCTAGTCTAGTCTTTTTGCATCCGGGCTTGGAGAGTCGGCCGGGGAAAGTCAGGAAATTGCTGTGACTAGCATCTGATTGTTGGAGCAAGCATCTCAAGGGTTTCAAGAGAAGCAAGGGTCCCTCAAGCTATTCATGAGAGGCGAAGCAAAAGCATGCAACTGACACAAGTGCGAGCTGTGTGTGTCTAGTCTAAACTTTTGAACCCAGGCTCGGATCCTGCAACTGCTTCTACTACTCGCACTACTGCCACTACTCCCACTACTCCCTGATATCATCCTAAACATTGCCCGTCTTGGTGCAATTGTTACAGTTGCAGCGGCCATGGCATTGCGATTGACGGCCCTTAGTCCCTCCGAGTCCTCCTCTGCACGCAGTAGCAGTAGGCGCTGCTCCTCCGAAAAGGCATGTATCAAGTCCTGACAGGGCATCGTAGCACTGAGTCTGGCAACCCCTGTGATCTACCAATATCGGTCGCTGATGCCAGAGCCGCAAACAATACCAATCAAGAACTGACATATACCGTATACCTCTACCTATGACGGCAAGGATGTTGGTAATAAGGCAACGTGAGTTCACGGGTGCATGTGCTACACTTCTGGCATTTAGAGGAACTTCTGATGCGAGCGATGCTCGTGAAGACTGTGTGTTGTGGACTTGCCGCATCGTCCTGAAAGCGAGCAGCGGCGGCCATCGTTTCATGGGAACCCATTTTTGGAACCCTGCTTGCAGCTGTGATGTGGCTGAACGTACTTTTAAGCGAAAGGACGTGCCTGAAATCGCAAGCCGATTCGACCCCGTCTGAGCTTGAAATCGCAGCTCGAAGCAGTTCATGCCAAGGCCGCCCTTCCCCCAAGTGATCTCGGAGCTAAAGACTTCTTGGATTCTTGGTCTTGGATAGGACAGGAAGGCAAAATAAGGCAAAGTAAACCTTGCAAGAGGTTCCACAGCGAGTAAGCTTCCGACTCGTTGGATCTTGCCACAGTCCGGGTGCGCTCGCAAAGCTCTGTGCAGGTTGGCTCTGACCACCTCAGAAGGAGGCATACACAGCCCACACTAAACTCTGCACCCAGAACAGGCACTTCCTCCTGCATTTTCCAGGAGCAAGCGCACCAGTCTTCCCTCTTCTGCCAAGGGCGTTTGTCCTTCATTCTTCAGTTCCTTCCCTTCATCCTTCGTTCGGTGGCTTTTCTCTTGGTCGTCAGGTTGAGGGGCCAACGCAGGCCGGTTCGTATCCATGAGGGACCAAGGCCAGTGCGCACTCCACTCCGTCAGAACGCAGTCCACAGGTGAGCACCTCAGAACGCGAGGGCTGCCCGGCTGCCCCCTCCGACATCGCAGCTGCTAGCCAAGGGCCAGGCTCCACTCGGCACTTTGTACCTCAGCGCCCGCGCTCTGACAGAGACACCAGCGGTGATGCAAAAAGACTCCCGGCACACCCACAGAAAACATCCTCAGCTAGGGACTGCTGTCGCATGTCGACTGGTAGAACTGCTCACCGGAGCAGGGCCTCGACAGAAAGCTCTTTCAACGTTCGACTTTCCGCTCGCTGTGGGAGTCTGAGAGTGCGGCATGGACTCGTCGCCTTGTGCCAGCGGCCGGTTTTCCAAAGCAAGGCACATCCACCTCAGACGTGCCGCACTGGTTGAGTGTCAGTCTCCGAGGCTGGGGCGCGAACTTGTCGGCTCCATCTGAGCCGGCGCTGGTAATCGGTCCTGCTCCAGACTTGGAGTCCGTGGCCTTTTCTGATTCTCAGTCTCCAGGCTCGAGTGGTCCTCGCCCTGTGCCCGCGATGCAGGGAGTGTCCAGCCATCCGCCTGAAACAATCTCTTCTCGTTTTAGGGTTCTGTTGTCCAAGCTCAACATCTCAAGGCCTGGCACATCCTGCTTCCAGATCTCGGTGTTCGGATCCACGAGGACGAAGCAACGGCGAGCTGGCCCACAGAGCGTCTTATGATTTCAACATGCTCTCCACGCAGATGGACGCTCCAGCAAGAGACGCCGTTCTTTGATCGCACGCAGGCGCACCGATGCCCCGTGCAACCCACAAGCAGAGCTGTTGTTTCCGACCCATGCGAAAAGCCTGTACCCTTTCCTGCATCACCACCACCGTCCCGTTGAAAACCTGCAGATGTTTGGAACCTGTCTCTGGATCGATCGGAAGCACCTGAAAAAATTGCACCCGTGCGACTGCGCCCATGTGCTACTAAGTACTAACCAGCATGCATCGACCCCGGGAGCATGCCACTTTTCGGGTACAAGTCGAACCCCGACCAATTCAGCGAAGTTCACTGACGCCTTCCTACAGCTGCAGTGTAGTATGGCCTCCGAACTTGACGACGCGGCTCTCGTCGAACATGGCCTCAACACTGCTTGGCTCTTCGAGTGGCAGAAGCGGAGCCCATGACTTCATAGTGCGTAATCGCAGCACATCTCAGCTCTCCGCACCCTGGACTCCATCCACGTCTCGGGCGAAGCAATTATCCATGACACAACACGAAACCAGAGCACAAGTTTCCCGTTCACTAAGCTCGCAGACCTTGCAAAGTGTGGAGCACATTTCGGCACTCGTCCTCAGAAATCGCCTGAACCGGGCACCCGCCTCGGACATGGTGACCCTTCCATCATCAAGAATCAAGATAACAGGCATGTAACAAACGGCGCTCTGAGCTCCCATCTGTAGCTCTCGCCTCGGGCATCGCGGCCTCAGATGCCACGCACCAGCTCTGCCACTACTCTCGAATGACAACCTATGTGATCTGTATGAGTTTTGTTCAGGACTCAAGACGCGCATAAACTTGTGTCCTGGAAAACCTTGCGTGGAGCTTTTGTGGCAAGGCAACTCCACCGATTCCTTTGTAACAGTCGACTACCGAAGAGTTGGGTCTCAGCGCAGCTTGGCACAACCGCGCGAGCTGCAAGGGGCAGCAGCAATTGCGACGTCCCTCTACTCACACATTGAAGCACTAGCCCCTACATTCTGCATCGGATTCCATCGGACAGCAAGCTACATTGCAGTGCGATGCTGTGAGACAATGTGATCATGTGCGCTTCGCAGGTGATGTGGATCCAAAGCTGAGTCCATGCACACAGCCCTCCACGATCACCGATGCGCTCAACCTGTGATGGAGATGAAGTTTGCACACCCAACACCCCATGTAGACTTCCTGAGCTGCGCCTGGAACTGGGGTTCTGTCGTGGTGAGGACCAGATGACGTTGCAGAAGCCTGTCGCTCGTTGTGGGTGCAGCGACATGGCAAGAACACGCCACCGGAAAATCGCAAAGCCTTGTCGACGGCCCGCACTGCGCAGAACAGCCTCCCATTTCCTGGCCAATGCTTCGCCGATCTGCGCGCTTGCCCCGTTCGCAATCTGTCAAGTTCCGTTTCACGCCAGCCTGCCAAGTGCTCCAGGTACAATAATGCTCCAAGCAGGCACTTTTGCAGTAGCCTCAGGTCCAATTCAGATCCATGTCCTAGTCGACCGGAGTTCCGAATCTGCTTTCTGGATTTCACGAGCCGTGCACCCACTTCTTTTGCAGCCTGTGCGGGACAGTTGACTTGACTCCACGTTTGAACAGCCTCAAAGCTCTTCAGCCACGCCTTGGCATCACACTTCCGACCGCAATGGTTCGCTTGCCTGATGACCCCACGGTGTCGATACCTGCGTGGTGGTGCCGAGCTCGATTGCAAAAGACCACTCTTGCTCAGGCTGCCTTTGGTGCCCGCAGTGCGAACAGTCGCTCCACATGGACCACTCGCCTTATCAGAGATGCTCTTCAACCGAGGACAGGCACGCATGAATCACGAAAGAGCCATACGAAGAGAAACTGAGCCGCAAGCTCCAAAGGCAGTCAATGCAAGTCATATGGCAAGCCTTTCTTCCATTCTCTTCGGGTGGGTAGATAGCGCAGTGGTCTACGCCTACAAAGCTCGCTTTGCCAGGTGTCTGCGCGCCTGCGTGTTGCAGGGCTCCACCTGCCAGAGTCTCTCTGCATTATTATTACAGTATTATTTTGGTATTTTAGTATAATTCCCACCCAAGAGTCCCAGTCGTCTCGGAACGCCTGGCCTCCTCCGTTTCATCGTCACACGGTGGCCCATTGTCCTGAAGCTCCGCCAACCATCTGGTTCGAGTCAGGTCACACAAGGCTGACTCACTTGAATGGGCTTCGGACGGCTGCCGGAATCAAGATGGACCGCGATCGCCTTTAATTGAAAGCTCGCGTTGACGTCCAAGCAGGGTGATGCGGAGTGCACCCGAGGGCCAGACTTTCGCTCGCCCGACCCACAGCTGTGTGAGCAAATCTGCCATTCCTGGCCACTGACTCACTAGGGAAAAAGGCTTTCCCGACACTTAACTCTCTGCCGCACAGCCCATGCCATGCAGAATGATCTACTTGTTTGGAGCACCTCCCAGTCTCCAATCTGGCATCTCCTCTAACACAGGAACACAGCCGTCTGTCGACAAATGCCATCTCACGCAGCTTTCCTGGCTGGGTCGGGCCGGCAGTCCGCTGGCACCGCCTGGACCATGCTGGGGACCGGGTAGTCCGTGACAGGAGCTAAGCTAAGACAACAAGAAAAAAGAGTCTGGATCACAGCACCTCCTCGGGGCCCGGAGCACATGGCCTGGACGACTCAACGACCGCTCTTCCGAAGCTCAAGCTTCAGCCACTCCCCTCACTGCAGCTCTCAGACGAGTCGTGGATCCTTTGTGAAACACGGTGCTAGCATGGCACCAGGAACATTGCACCGATGTCTTCTTCAGCCGCCGTCTGATTAAACTAGGATTTAAGCTGAACCCTTGAGCTGCACAAGTGATAGTGATAGTGCTGTGCTGCACCCGTGAAGCTTCAGTCAGCAGCATGGGAATGGGTGCCACGTGTTGTGGACCACTGAAGTGTACAAGAAACATTGACCATCCTCAGCACTCTTTAGCAGCGTTAGCAAACCAAGCATCGAGTGCAATTCAATACAGCTTCCATCAGGACACGGCAGAGAGCAGCGGTTGAGACAGCTCAGTACCTTTGTGCGGCACATCGTCCGCGTCTGGCGTGTCATCCGATCTTGCGGGCGATTTCGGCTCCGGCGGCACCGGAATAGCCAGGGCGAGGGACGGTTGAGGTTGTTGGGACTGAGTGGGGTCGCTTCGAGGCTTTGCCTGCGGAGCCTGCGACTCTGCAGGCCTCGACTCCGGTGCTTCTGGCTTCCCGGGCTTCGGCTTGGAGGCTTCCCTTGCAGCCTCAAGCATGCCTGGCGGCAGCACGTCCGTGGTGATGATCCACTTTGCCCACTGTCGAAAAGAGAAGGTCAACGGCCTCTTGACAGAGCCGCAAAAGCCTCCGCCGGGCTTCTTCTTCGGCTTGGCTTTTGCCTTGGCTTTGGCCTTTGCTTTCGTCTCCGCTTTGGGAGGCTCGCCTTCCTTGCCCCCTGGCCCTGGCTTCGCCTCTTCCTGAAACCCGAACGACCTCTCTTCCTTCGGTGGGCGGCCGCACAAACCTCCTCGCTTCGCCGCCTTCTTCGGCTGAGGCATTTCCAACTTGCCAGTACCAGTTTCTGCGAGCTTGCTGGAAGTGCTGGCTTCGTGCTCAACGCTGCCGCTGACGCCGCCTTCCTTCTGAGCTGCACCTTCCCTGTCTGCCTCATCCGTGGTATCCTTGCGCTCGTCCTTCTCCCCCTCTTTCGCCCGTGTTTCCGGCTCCGGCAGCTCCGGCAGCTCCGCAAGCTCCTGCTCCTCCTCCTCCTCCTCCTCCTCCTCCTCTGAATCTTGATTGGCGAATTCACCCAAGGCTTGCTTGGCTATCCGCCGGATCTCTGTAAACTTGCGGCGCTCGTCGAGCTTCCGAAATTCCTTCTTCTCACCATCAGAGAAGCTCGCACTCGACTCCTCCAGGGATAGGAATGCATCGATGCTCCGGACCAAGTCCTCCTCGCCTACCCGATCATCACCGTCGGCGTCGAAGAAACAGAACAGGAGCTCTAACAGCTCTGCCTCGGAGCTCCATCGCAGGGCAGAAGACAAACACAGCACCTCGAAGCAGGTCAGCTGAGGCTTCGATCGAGGTTCGCCCAAGTTTCGCTGTACACGGGCCAGGTGATAGAGCCGCCGCGAGATCTTTGATGGCAAGCGGAGGTTCAGCTGCAAAAGCTCCATGGCATTTTCCCTCAGGTAGCCACCTTCATCTTTCACGTCTCCTAGGCTCCGCCGAAGCTCCTGGCCGTCCCTGGCACGGTCAAAGACCGGGTCGCTAAGATCAGCCTGCCACTGCTCCCAGGGCGCCACCTCCTCGAAGGCACGGCCATCGGATGCCGCGGCAGTGGCAGGGCCCGAGCCAGGCCCGCCAGGGCCCAGGCCCAGCAGCAGCCGGCGCCTTCGACGCAGCGCCGCGGCCCTTGGCGGTGCCTCGAAGCCAGCTTTGGCTTTGGCTCCCTTCGAGGCACCGCTGCCCATGGCAACCCAAAACGCTAACAGGCGCAGGCGCAGTGTCGCGACTTCTCGGCTTTCACTGTTCTAAGAAGTCCCGCGCTTCGCTGCATGCTCATGGCAGTCTCTCTTGCTCTCTGCTATGCTGTGCTTTGCTGTGCTATGCTGTGCTGTGCTCTACCATGCTCTGCTATGCTCTGCTCTTCTCGGCTGCTCCATGGGTCCGTTTCATGCACATGGCTGGGGAAAGTGCGAGAACTTGGCAGACCGAAGCACGACACGTTCGACAGTCGTTCGACCAACACCCGTTCGACCGACACCCCAATGGAAGCGGAAGTCTGAGGTATCAGCTCCACAGCCTTCAGCGATGTCTCGGAGCACGGACGGCCTGGAAATCCATCATCCTCTTCGATTCTACGGCACCCCCAGCCCCAACTACACCATGTCCACCCCACCGTTTCCAGAAGCGTACTGCTGCACCCGGCGATGGCCTCAGATTGCACAATTAGTACTTGGGACTCTCGGATTGGGGCAAGCACCCATGCTCAGGTGGCAGCGCTCTCGCACGCCGAAGCATTTACAACCTGGCTGTCGCAGCACTTCAAGCAGCTTGTCGCAAACACAATTTTGCACCACGCAGGTCATTTCTGAACACCTTTGTCTGCAGGCTGTATGGCCAGGGGCGCATCATCGGCAGAATGCTCTGCAGCCACTTGTGCCACCATCACTCCAAACAGCTTCGAATCACAGCCATGGAGCAGTGCACCCCCTTGTTGGCATCCGTGTTGGTGGCATCTCCATCTGCGTCCCGATAGGCATCCCATACTGCCGGCGTGCTTGTCCTACCTCCTTCGCCCTGGCGCGGTCGCCGCATGGGAAGCAGGAGAGCGAGTACCTGAAGCCTGTGGCTGCTGCCAGGGTTCAGGTTGCACCAGGGGGGTTTCAGATTTATCCGCCGCGAAGCTGTCAGCATCCATGCTGGCAGGGATCAAGAGTTCTTCACATCATGCAGACAACTGTCTCCTGCTCGGAGTCAAGTCGATTCTTCTGCTAGCTTCTGCATGACTGCATGGCAGTCGCCGCCGTGCTCCGCAGGCCCCCACGTTACGACAGCTGCATCCCCGCGAACCGCAGCAAAAGCATGCTGAGACGGGCATATCATCCGAACGTCATGCAACTGCTCCTTCACCTTGCTGCTGTTGCCGCCCCGATCCGCATGACCCCAGGTCACGACTCCTCCATCTGCACGGATTGCAGCGAATGCTTGCTGCGAGGCACACACCTCCTGTATGTCTTGCAGTTGGTTCTGAACGGCGCTGCTGTCACCCCCACAGTCCACATCGCCCCAGGTAACCACAGAGCCACTCAGCCTAATTGCAGCGAAGGCACGCGCAGAAGCGCAAACTTTGTGCACGTCCACCAACTCATCTTGGACCTGGAGAAGACCAAACCAAGTACAGTGCTCTGCTGCAATTGTGCAGTAACCCGGCATGTCTGCTCTCCCCTTCTCCTGGCCCCAGTTGCCCGAAGACTACGAGCATCTGACTTCGCCAAGCATGTCTAGTTTTGACACCAAGATCCACAAAGCGCGCGCATCCTAAAACGTCACAGAGGTCCCAGTTACCAGTCTTCGGGTTTCTACAAGCTTTTCCCGGACCTTTCCCCCATCTGCGCTAAGCCCGGCTTCCACGTTAGCCAAACAAGGGCGGAAAGTGTGTTTGTCAAGGAGGCAGGTGCAGGGAGTCGGGAGGCCACACCTTGCTACAGTCGCCGCCGAAGTCGACGTGGCCCCATGCGATGACACGGCCGTCTGCCCGGATGGCAGCAAAGGCTGCCAGGGACGCCTTGACGTCTTTCACTTCCCGGAGCTGATCCGACACGGAGGCAGAGTCCCCGCCATGGGTCCCGTCGCCCCAGGTCACCACTCGGCCGTCTCCTCGGACAGCAGCGAAGGCATCTATGGTGGCCGCCAGGCTCCGGACGTCAACGAGACGGTCCCGAACCGAAGCGCTGTCTCCGCCATAGTCACCGTAGTCTGCATTGCCCCATGTCACCACCGTCCGATCTGCCCGGACGGCTGCAAAAGCCCTCAATGAAGCGCAAATGGACCTCACGTCCTGCAGATCCTGCTGAACAGCGGTACTGTCACCGCCACAGCCTTTGTCTCCCCACGTAATGACCGTGCCATCTGTCCGGATAGCTGCAAAAGCTCTTTGGGAGGCGACGATGTTGTGAATGCTGTGCATTTCCTGGCTCGCAGATGTCAGGGAGCCCGCTGGTCGACGATACCTAATACATAATATGCAAAGGGTGTATGATAAGTTTTACTACGGATTACGTCTCATCCTATTTTCTCCTCTCGGTTCAGAGAATACTTCACTTGCTTCGAAAATCAAGTCCAAAAAACACAACGCACACAAGGAGGCCTTCTTGATTTTGCTGCTGTCGCCACCACAATAAGCAGGACCCCAGGTCACGACAGTGAGGTCACCGCGAAGTGCTGCGAAAGCATGCTGCGAGGCGGAAATTTCACGGACATCCAGAAGCTCTTCTTGGACGTTGCTGCAGTCGCCCCCTCGGTCAGAACATCCCCATGTGACAACTTGGCCATCTGCGCAGATGGCTGCGAAGGCCTGCTGGGAGGCACGGATCTTTTGGACATCACGAAGCTGCCATCGGACTTGGGAGCAATCGCCGCCGTAGGCGGCATCTCCCCAGGTCACCTGGAGGCAGTGCCATCTCTAGCCAACGTTGCCAACCTATCTAAAGTCTCACATCCATCACATCCCCTCCATTGCCTCGCCTGCCTGGCCTGCCTCGCTTGCTAGGCCCTTAGGCCAAGGTACCACTTCTCCATCGGCCGAGAGCAAAGCGAAAGCATCGCCATGTCTCGGAAGGTTCATGGACCAAGCACCGCTGGCACTGATCAGGGATCCGTAGCAAGAGACGATCTCCACATCTCTCACCGAGGCTGTGACCTTGTCCCCATTCTGCAGACCAGCCTCGCTGAGTGTGCTTCGGCCCCAGAGCTGCTGGCCTGCTTCAGTGAACAAGTCCCGAATGCCAATTCCCAACTTCTGCTGGGCGCTGTGACGCAGATCCATGACTGTTCCCTCTCGGGACATTGAAACCGAGGCGGTCCGCCCACTGAGGAGCGTGACATCGACACGGACAAGCTGCGCAGTGCCGAGCGCACTGCTTTCTGATGACATTTATGGGTGAAACAACGTGAAAATGACAAGAAGGCTCCTCTCGAAAGCTGTGCAATGGGGCTCCAGGGTTTCGGGTTCCAGGGCTGGGGCTGGGCGCTAGGGCTACTAGGGTGTTCAAGCTGTAGTGAGGTCTCTGCAAGGGTCTGTCTACAACATCTCATACAAAGCAGCAAGCCCGGCTGCGGGATTTCCAATCATGGCAGCCGCTTCACTGGACCCTTGCCCATGTGTCTCATGCTCCCGCAAACATGTGAAGCCGACTGCATCCCGTCCACGCATTCCACTCAGAGATCACACAGTCCTTGGCAGCGTGATATGCGAGGCGGCCTAATTATAAGACTTTCAGCATGCCGAGCGTGCCAACCAAGCCTACTGCTCTTGGCTCATGTTGGCTCGGTTCCCAGCCCTGTCTGGGATGCAGTTTGGCTGTCCTGTACAGACCTCGCAAAGCTCAACTGTGTCACCACTGTCTGAAGAGCAACGCTCCTCCGTCGGCCTCGTACTGGTCTTCAAGGCCGAGGGCTGGTTTGCCGCAGAAGTTGGGGTGGCGATCCACGCTGCGATGGCGAGCCTACGACAGGCTCGCTACGAACTTGGCAATTGCCTCTTCTCCCTAGGCTGAGAACTACTGCACTCAAACCGCTACGGCCACCTTGCTTGCACGAACAGAAAGGCCAGAGTAGCGGCTCATTACCGGCAAGCACTGCAAGCACAGCACCTTGTAGGAGGATGCGCAGGTTGCAGAGCAGGCAGACCAGGACCCCCACTCGCTCCACCTGCGACATTTCTCCGGACGGAAATCATTCCACAGCAGCAGCAAAGCAATAAGCATTCATCACATACATGGGTCGGGTCGGGTGCTGTGGACGGAAAGCACTGTCAACATTCTGCTAGTGCAGCAACAAAATCCGATGAGGCGCAAGTATCCTCCATGCGGTACCAGTGATACACGTCCCGCTTACCCTCTCGAGATGGAAACTCTTGCAGCGCCCTTTTCATCCAATTCCAGATGCCAGCGCCCGGAGCCCTGCGCCCGTTGCAGCAGATCGCGCATCCAGTGCAGGCGCGTCTGGGCTCAACTAAGCTGGGGACACTCAGGCGAGGGGTGTTGGCTAACGGTTGCATGAGCATTGGGCCTCCCAGGGAAGCTCAGGCGCGGCCCATGCTCGGTAGTCGTAGCGACCTCGCAGACTGGCAGCCGAGGGCGTGGAGCACCGCATCCCCTCTCACTTGCAAGAGAAGGGCCATATCTGAAGTTCTCGCCAAATCTGAGGAAGCCAGGGTTGCAGAATGAGCCGACCAGCCACTTTTCGTACACATTATACTCGCCTGCACACTATGGGAATGCCTCGACACTGACGCAAGCTCCCCTGAATCTTGACCGTCGCCTACATGGCCGAAGGCAGGTAAGTATTCTGCCCGCACCCAGACAGCGTCATAGAGCTCTACCTGGCTGGGCTGTCAGGCTTCCACAGCTGAAGCGGCTGCAACCGACAGAAACAGTTTCATGCATCATGGCACGAGAAACGACGCCTGCAGCAACTCATACCCGAAAGGCGCAAGCACCTCGACCATGCTGAGTACTTCGTTGGTGGCATTTGGTGGCCGAATTGATTCACAGCACGGTCGTGTTGGTTCAGGTCCGCACCGAGTCTAGTCTGGCAAGCGATGGATTCAGGCCGACGAGTTCTGGTCGCGGGGTGTACACGAGCGGATCCTTCTCATCCTGAGTCACAGGAATCGCAACTCCATGCTATCTGCCTGCAGTGCCTTCCGAGGACGGTGCGTACTCGCGCCAATAGGAGACAGGCGGAGGAAACATTGGGGCGATTTCTGTGTGCAAGACCTGCCGAGCAACGCCCCATGCTTCAGGGCTCGGCAAGAACGGACAGACAACGTGGCAACCCCACCTTGGGCCTCAGCCCTGACTCCAAGAGCCTGCGAAGAAGCTCGTCGTGAGGCATGCTGTCGACATCGATCTTGAGGAGGTCTACCTTGCAAAGGACTGATGTGACTACGGCTCCTGAAGCTCATGCAAGATGCGCAATATGCTACCACATGCTGCTTCGGGCACCTCTCGCACCGGAAGATTCCTCAACACGACGTCTGCCACGGTGAGCGGGGTGACTGCTATCGCCCGGACTCCTAATTTTATCCCACAGTCAGCAAAGGCTCTCAACTTCGACTTGGCTGAAGGCTGCCGAGTCTCGAACATCGTTCAGCAAGTGTTCATCATGAAGCCTGTCGGGATCACTCTTTCAGCAGATACGTATCTTCTGACATCCTCGGGCCAGCCTGGCATGCATAACTTCTGCCATCGAAGCATTGCCCTCAAGAAGCAGGCCATGGAAGTGCTGCTCTTCGACCAGGCAGTTCGCCGGATCGTAGCACTCCTTCAGGAGAACAACCCTTCCCCAAGCTGCAGGACATGACTGGCCTGGCTGCCGCCACGAATCAGTACCACGACCACATTTCCCATCATATGCACCGAGATTGACAACCCAGCGTGATAGCTCTTGGTTGCTTCTCCACCTGCCAGGGAGTTTTCTGTGACTCTTGGCCTCTCGACCCTCTTCGCATTCAATGGTGCGCTTTTCGAGCTGCTTCTTTCAGTTGTTCTGCTCTTGACTCTTGGCTCAACTCGAGCTCAGCCGCATCGAGGAGCATCTCATACCCATCTGCTTCCCCGGATGCCTGATACGCTTCAGGATGGATTCCATGGAGAGCTGCGGCACCCTCAATCCTGAACGGTGTGAGGTGCTGTCACTATGCCGGCTATTCCTTCTTACCTGGCGCACTGCAGCTCCTGCCTCGAAAATCGATGTTTGCCGGACCTTGGAGCTCTGCATTCGTCAGCGCGCCCAGCGAGAGCCTGGCGAGTTCTTTCATCGAGGCCCAGAAACAAGCCGCTAAATTCAGCAAGGGTGCGTTTGTGGATCGCAAATCTGCGATGGAGACAGCTCGCGTGGAAGAAACACGGGTGACCTCGGACTCCAATTGGCTTCCCGCCTAACTGCATGTCTTCATATGGACAAGCGCAAAACTCCAGCGGTATGCTTCAATGCTTCAGGTGGCAGTACCGTCGAATGTGCGGCAGCAGGCAAAGGCAGGAACACCGCAGCCCGCACCGCATCGACGATCCGTTCCAGAGCCTCAAGAATTGAGAGAGTATCCCCGTGGCACATGGAGTCGAAGCATGGAACCGCACCTTGCCTCCGGAACCAGCATGGCCGTGCAAAGCGACCTTACTACAGGAAAAAACATGACGCAAAAGAGTTGGCTCTCCGTCCTAGTTTCGACGCCAGTTACCAGTAGCTACGGCCGTCCGATGTTTGCAAGATCCCGCTTGTGATCGGCTTGGGCCACCACTCGTGGCCACCCCGCTCTTCCACTTGCATTTCCGCAAGCGCCACATCGGCGACGGAACAAAAGCTCCTCGGCTGGAAGTTGTCTGGCAGCTCAGCCCTGTGAAGCGATGATGAGTTTCCGTGGCACAGGTCATTCTTGTGAGCCGGTGGACCTGGCTCCCGATCTGACGCTCTCGTAACGTGGCCGAAGGACAGTACATAGTCTGCCGGTACCACATCAGGCGCGTAACAGTCCTCCGATCTCCAACTCGCTTTGATTTGAGTGAAAGGATACTACAATGGCCTGAAATTCGGCTGCACAGAGGCCGTAGCGAAGGGCGTGCAGTGCCGTCAGCGCGGCATTTGCACGCGAGGCTGCCACCTAGCACCAAGGACATTTTGCATTTTGCTGCATATGAAACAAAGAACTACCTCTTTGTTTGCATATTTCTTCTGCGACTGTTCAAGTTAGCTAAGTTAGCTTCATTCGTTGCATTTCTGCGAGATAGGTATCTATATAATTAGATTGATGGTCAGTCAGATAGATAGATAGATAGATAGATGGCTTGCTTGCTAGGTAGATAGATAGATCGAGATAGTTAGATGATGGATGGATAGATGGTAGGTAAATAGATAGACAGATAGATAGATAGACAGATAGGTAGATACATAAAAACAAAGTAATATATTGAACACATAGGTAGATAGATCGGTAGATAGGTAGACAGATAGGTAGACAGATAGGTAGATGAGCGACCACACCACAAACTCACGAAAAAAGAGAGCGAGCGAGAGAGAAACAAAAAAACATATGTGTCCATGCCATATTAATGTCTGTACTAGTTTGTTTACACACGCAGGTATTCCTTTGGTTAATACTTACTTGCTTGATTAATCCTGTTTTTTCCAACTTCTACATACGCTTACCTTATATCTACGTGTTTCAGTATCCAGTTATTTGTGGCATAAGTTACAATCTGGTTTTTGTTCGTTTACCTGCTCATGCAAATTTGTGTATAGAGATCGTGCCTCTGCGAGGGGCTGCCGGAAAAGGCCCAGAACCTCTTCGGCATGAAGAAACTGCACGATCCCAGTAAACTCCCAGCAAATGTGCCGTCTCAAACTTGTGAGGCAAGAAAGCCTCGCAAACACTTTCCAAGTCCATGTCGACTGATTACCATAGCATTTACTCCTACTAATACATGCTACTAATACTCAATGCGATTGCCGAACCTCGTCGACCGCTGCATCGATGACCTGCTCCCTCAGTGCCTCGGCCGTGCGAAATGCGCCGTTGTTGAACTGCTGGTAGTACAGCTCCTCTGGCAGGTTCCGGCGGTGCGACAGGTGCAACGCATCATGGCAGTGGCTTCGTTAACTTTCTTCTGCCACACTCATCGAGCTCTTCACCCCCTGACGCGTTGTCGCGCAGGTGCTGGGCTCCGGCAGCTGCGATCCACAGAAAGGGGGCATCTACCCCTGGCCGCGGGAGACGGCGGCCTTCAGACTGCCACGCTCGAGGGCATGTCTCGAGCAGGACGGGCTCTGTCTGAAAAGGAGTGCCCTCCGGAAGGCGGGGCCGTTTGTGTGAACGAGGGGCATCGGAAAACATGCTCTAACCACCGGCCTCGCAAGCCGCTTGCTGCAGGCACACCACTCTGAGGTTCAAGGAAAGTCAGGAGTGTCAACGCTTCTCTTTCTTTCGCCAGGGCTATCATGCAGGAGGGAAGCCCCCCTACATCGCGCGCAAGTGCGCCCCCAGACATCTTGCTTGCTTGCTAACCAGTGAAGGCGCCATGCGCCCTTCCCCCCCGTAGGGGCTCGTGACGTCCCGCGTCCAGCGCAACTCGGTGTGAAACTACGTTGTTCCCCCGGTTAGCCGGGACTCCTGTACTGTCAACCACCAAGTGAACAGACCTGCGCCGTACCTAAAAAGCAGCAACTTTTCGGAGTCCCCCGGGCCCCCAGACATCTCTCTCTCTCTCTCTCTCTCTCTCTTCTTTTGTACTTCCTGTTTGTCGGCGATATGTTTTCGAATTCCCATTCAACTAGAGATGCCCCGGCTCATCCTGCACTGGTTTGCCTTGACCGGTTCCCCGTGCAATGCCCCTCCTAAGCCGGCCTATGTCGGCTGTCGTGCTTCTACTCCAACCCGTTTTGCAGCAAAGCCCCACCGGCAGAACTGGATAGCTCCATACAGCTTTCCAGTGAACTGAAATCCAGATCCTGGCATTCTCCTATCGTCTTCTGCAAGGCTAGGCTGCGCCCTGATTGAAACTTTGGAACGGAGCGCCTGCTCTTGCGGGAGGACGTACGTGCGGACCCACTTGATGCCATAGTTGTGCTGGCACCTTCGACCGCGCAGCAACGAAGGAATACGCCTCGCTTGCAATCGTCTCGCGGGCCTCTCGGAAACTGGCACTGGTGGGCAGAACAGACCCCCTGCTGCCAGCGCCAGACCAGAGAAGGACATCCAAGACTAAACCTCACATTAAGGGCGAAGTTTGGCCAAGACGGTAAAGATGTTCCTCGTAAGTGGAAGCTGGCTGCTGCTGCTGGTGCTGCCCGTGTTCGCTTTTACTGCTGCTGAGAAGAAAAGATCGCTTCGGCACTGGCAAACAAACGCACTGTGGCAACCGCGCCACCCTTGGCCCGACCTGCCGTCCACGCAAATGTCGCAGGTTTGCGTTGCGCACGGCGCGATCTCACCCTTGTCCTGCACACGGTCACTTTTCACCGAGACGCAAACGAATCTACGAAAGACCTTGGGCTCGCAGAGCTTCCCCCCATGTCGAGGCCTGCCGCAAAATCAGTGCACCAGCTGGCTCTCTGCACTTGGACAAAGCCCCGAGCGATTGCTGAATGACTCGATTCCGTCGTTTCGTACCGCCCCCGCAGGTACAGCTGCAAGCCTGGGCAGAACTCTGTTCAGCGTGGCTACGTCATTGGAGCTTGTGCCGACTGGTCTGAGAACTTGGTTGCTGGCACTCCAATGATCCCAGTCGGCCCAAACCTGCCATCTCGGCTCAAACTCAAACGTGCCACTGTCTCCGATCGCTTTAGGCAGTTCGAGAAATCTATGGATTCTAATCTTCCTTTCTGCCAGGACGAGAACCTACCCTACCCATGTTTGAGAGCCACGGAGAACCGCGACTCGGCAAACTTGGCCAGTTTGCGCAGTCCACCGCAATGCACTCTCGGATGTGGCAAGGCCTCACCTGGACACGCGCTGAATTAAGACTTGCAAAACTTCAGAGGCATCGGTGCGGCCTCCTCTAGCGCTTCACTGCAGACCGAGTGGTAGGACGTCGAGACGACCTGGCGTATAGGCATCCCCGCAGCGGCTGGGTTCCTCGTCGCATCGCTGGGCCTCGCGGCTTCGAGAATGGATCCCATCACCTGTAAGGGAAGGTCTTTCAAGCTGACCACAAGAAAGGCTGCCCATGGAATTCCATGGCCGACCAGGCCACCAGGGCCCAGGCCACACGGCTGGCTACACTGCGACCTGCAGCTGCAGCACAGCATGAGTCCAGGAACAAAAGAAATTTCAGGTCTGCGCCAAGTGGTCCAGGAGGAGAGTGTGCAGGTTTCCTGCTCACACTGTTGGACCTGGAAAGAGCAGTGATGCATGCCAAGGTGGAGAACGAGGTGTGACAGTGCTGTGCACACACTTACTTTGCTGATTGACACCATGGCTCACGTTGGCTTGTGGAGCCCTACATGTATTCAATTGCTATTTGTGGTAGATGCCTGTATGGATGCTGAACAGGCTAAACTCCAATGTTTCCGATCGTGCAACAACATGAATTTTGAGAACCTTAGTTGCAGGCCTGGCACTCCCAGCACTTTCTCTTACAGAAGGGACTGTCATTCTCAGAAGGGGCTGTCATAAACAGACACCTTGCAAGGTCACTCTAGTACAGCAAGCCACCGCGCAAAACATATACATATACATATACATATATCCACATATACACACAAATACGCAGATACAAGCACATCTGACTTTGGCATAGACATACACGCAAACACATAAACACACACACACACACATAAGCTTATAAATTATGAGCATTGTCACATACAATCACATACACACACCTGCACATACACATAACAGGTGCGGGCAGCCGGCCCTCAGCATTCAGCCTGTGCAGGAAGCCAGCCCACACCAACATGCGAGAGTTAAACCCTTCAACCGGTGTGGGCAGGCGGCTCCGACCAGCATGGTGCGGCTCAAGACTTGGGGCATCTATACGGAAGGGGCGCATAATCAACATCAGGCACAAACGGCGAGTCAACTTAAAGACATGATGATATGGAAACTCCGTTTTGTGATTGTACCTGATTTGTATTTGTTTATGCTTAAGGATGTGCATTATGTGTAGCCGATTCTTGCGACATTCAACAATGCTTGTGTCTGCTCATCTGCTAAGTTTTCAGTCATTGCGTGTACACAAACGGAACTAAACTGCTTCCCTTACTGCCTAGCTCGACCCACAACACAGTACTCATGACTGCATCGTGAGACAGGCCACTTCGCGGCTCCAAGCTTCAGGCACAACTTGATACGATACTACCTTCCGAAACTGCGCTTATAACCTAAGAGTGGCGTCACATATGCTTTTTTGGTATCTTGCAGGAGGAGGGCCAACTTCCAACATCACATAGATAGCGAGCATGCGCAAGCCTCATAATGTCATGCCACAGATGTGAATGCACAAATGCTGGTATGCATGGGATTGCCTACCCATTGTAGTGAGAAATACATTGACATATGCATCCACAGTACATGTACTAACAAGTCAAGATACCGTGTACACTTTATCTTTCAAGCCATCTGCAAAATTTTTGCAAAACCTCTACAAAGGTAACATCCAATGCTAGGCTGCAAGGTGCAACTCATCATGCATATTACAAGCAAGTGCATCGACTTGGGCGGCAAGACAAGCTACTGATCTTGCCTGGTTTGAGCGATAAATACATCTCCACTCGCATAGCCATGTTCGAATGCATCTTCACGATCTAAATGGATGGATGGAGGCACGCAGATTTGGAATGTTCGGATGGGGATCTGTAGTGCGCTGCCGTCAACTCGTCTTCCCAGATTTACAACCCTTCTGCTGCTTGCATGTGCTGTTTCTGTCGACTTGCCTCGCATGGCTTTCTCCGCCATCAGTTTGACCCTTCAGGAGATTTCTGCTTCCGGCGTGGCCAACTCAATGCTGTTGAGCTTGCTCTTGACTTCAGCCGCTTTAGCCGATGTCGGCTTCTTGACTTGCTGAGTCTCTCCAGCACTGCACATGCTAAGTCCAAAAGGCCGTCTACGTCCACCTGAAGTCTGGTCTTGGCCGCGAGCTCCACAGGCGCGCACTTCATGAACTGTCTGGCCTGGCCGATCCTACGGTAAATTGTAGAACACCCCAAGACCAAACGGTTGCTGAGCTTCTGGGGGCAGTCAGGCGCCTTCTGGAACTGCCATAAAGCAACTCGTCTGGTCAGAGGGCAGCTGACGCGTCCTGGATAGGCGCCAGACAATCGTTCGCATGTTGGGCCTTCTTATCACTCGCGACAGTCGCTCGAGATGCTGGGAGTTCCTAACAGTTCTGTAGCTCAAGCCGTGGAGCAGACGCAGTTGAAGGTAACTGTCTAGTACAAACAAGTGGTGGCGATGCGGCACCAAAGGACGCACCACAAGGCAAGTAGAGCTAAGCTCAGCTCTCGCAAGTCAACCCGGCCCACCTTTGGGATTGACCAGCACAGCTAGCACTGCATTGCGACCATTCCGACCTGCAGTGCACCGGCTGACTGTGTCAGTGGGGTCTGTCTTTCTAGGGACTTGGGCACAAATCTATGGGCTAGTTATTGAACGCTAGCGATTCATGAAATCGAGGTTTCAGGTGCTTCTTCGAGAGCGGGAGCAATGAAGCCCTCTAGGGGCTGCGCCAACCTGCCAGAATGCATTCCTGCGGCTCCTGTTGCAGCCATGTTACGGCTGGCTGCAGCAACAGTACTTGCACAGTCGGACCACGTCACATATCAGCCATAGCATAGCTGACCCGCACCTGATCGTTCATCGGGCAGCCACGAGTCTCCCGCAGGATCTGGTTGCCTTTGGAATGTCACCGGCATGCAGAAAACACGAGTATCGAGCCAGGGGTGCTGTGTGTGAAGCCGCCGGCAAGTTCTTCTATGAACGAAACGATGCATCGGAATTACCCGTCACCTCTCGTCGACTGCCTTGCCATGTCTTAACGCTCCATTGGGCCGCGTGCAGGGCACCGACCGCGAGGCTGGCTGAAGAAGGACACGACCTTGTCGGAACGAGATCTCAGACTGCAGGGATTTCTGGATAGCAGCTAGGTTTGGATATGCTGAGCACGCAGCTTCGATACTCCTGCAGGTCATACCAAAAAACACACGGCTTCAGGCTACATGTTCATGCTTGCAAGCTATCAAGGATGGTAGGCCAAAAGACTCACCGAATAGTCCTGTGCTGGGGACAAAATGTCACAACCTTGCCAGGCCTTCGGTAGTCCCAGCATGCATATCCCCACGCTCCAAAAAGAGTAATGTCTCTCATCTGGTTTAAGAGCCGCACTCCCCATTCACTTAGGACGCAGCTTTGACCTTGCTTCGCAACGCAGAGACTGCTGACGCGAGAAAACGCTGGCCTACATGCAGAGCGCGATCCAGGACCCAAGCTGCCGCAGGGCTCGAGGTTGCACTGCTGCTGCTCGCCTTCAGTTGAGTGCCACTTCGCTTGGACTTCTGAAGAGCGGCAACTCACAGAATTCAACCGCTGAGTCAGAAACGGAGGGTCTGCATGTCGCATGTGGCACCGCCATTGGCTGCGAACTGCCGTACCCGGCGCAAGCGTGCCTGCGGGGCGAGGCAAAAAACCGTGGTGCTGAAGAACCTTACTCAGGCCGTCCTGTGTGGGCTTCACTCCACAACTCCGGCTTTTATCTGCTATCCTCACCCACAGTGGCCGAGAGGAAACACAAAGCCTGCCAGCCCCCATCGCAGCTCCGGCTGCACTGCGTCCTGGCATGGCAGACTCTGGCAGTGGCAGATTCTTTGGGCCTACACCGAGTTGGCAGTGTTGGTGCTCGGTCCATTCTTGCCACTGCGTCAAAAGACAGTCTTGGGCTTCGAAGCTCTCCGCCTCGGCTGAATTCCGAAAGTTGTGCATCTCGCAGGACCAGGAAAGAGGAAAGGCCACCACCACACAGGGCTCCGTCTGATTGTAGGGCCCAGCACCTGGTTGCAATCACAAGTCTGCAATAATATTCCAAAGCCTTGGCCCAAGCTTGAATCTGTCGCCCCACCGGAACACTTCGCACGCAGCTTCTGGCTTTGTTAGTTGTTTTCAAGACAACCCGTGCAAAATGTATCAAATCTTGAGGAATCAAACTGAACATGCAATGTGTGGCCTGCTGCACACTACGACCATTGCGCAAACCCGGGGGAGACACATTGCTCTCCGTTGTGAAGAGCTTGCAGTTGGACCTGTGGGCACTTCTGCACTTTGTGAAGCATGAGATTAAGGCCAGAGAGCCAATTACATGTACTGAGATCGAAGCATGACGAGTTCGATGGCGCTGGTTTTGGCGCAACCTGGAACGCCCAGGCTCCGGAGTGACAGGCCCGCTACAACGACGCAAGATCGGTGCCCAAGTGCCAGACGATGCGCCATGCACGCTGAAGCAGGAGCTTGACCAGGAACTCCAGGCCTTTCGCCAGGACGCTGAAGTGAACTCTGAAGCGTGCAAAGCAACAAAGCAGGCCTCTGAAGCTAAGGCCTTCACGGTCCATTGGCAGTCGCGATTCTCCAGCACACACTCATCGTAGTTGGGATAGCACTCTCTCCTGCAGAGTTTCCACAATTCTGTTCCGGACCATCTGACAGCTTTTCCCGCCCGTCCTGCTAATTGTTTGCAGAAGTGATCCGCTGCATGGCTGCCCACACCTCGAACGAGCTGCACGAAGTGCACGAAAGACATCCAAATTTCACACCGCCTGTGCTAAAATGGTCCGTTCTGTGGTCTGGTCCGGAGGGTGACTCATCACGGAGCCGGGCTCTGGGCTCGTTGTTGGTCTGCGCCTTCATACCTTCGCATGCTATAGGGCACCTTCTTAAGATGACGAGATGGGACGCCGAGCACATGATGAGTCTCAGAGCTACGGAGCATCAATCAGAAGGCATTCGTAAGTCACTCGCAGCGAAAGAGAAATTCCAGCAACGCGCTGTCGGCTTCCACGTGTTCTCAAAACGTCTCATGCATCCATCCGGTCTCATTTGGTCGGAGCGGCGCTTCCGCTGGCACAAGCCTGTGCATCCACCCAGCCTTGCAGACCAAACGGCATCTGCTGCATTGTTGGGAGGGTGTGGACTTCATTGCATGGTGACGGCTCAGCGTGCTGCGGAAACCAATCCATCCACGCCCCGAAGATGCAGTCCTGGCTGAATTCAGCTAAGGCGGCCCTTACCTTTTTTTCTGTTCATTGACACACCTGACTCTGACAGGCCTGGGGCGTGCAGGATGCAGCACAACCTCACATGCAGATCATGGGTCAGCAGGCAAGCCATCAATTTGAGCCCTGAACCCGAGGTCGAAACGATTTCTGAATCTCTTTCAAATAAGGCATGCTTTACACACTTGGCCAAACGTAAGTGTCTGTCTTGGGAGGTCATCGCAGACGGCCCACTCCTGCAGGCAAGTACGACAAGTGAACCAAACGAGCTGCACCAACATGAAATTGAAGCCACACTTTGACACGAAGTGGCACCGTATCACTGAAGTAATTTTGGGGATATTTGTCTAACTCTGGCTGGATGCATGTCCTCTTCGCGTCCTCTGCACTTGCCGGCGTTTGAGAACGCCTCGGGGAAAATCGTCTGAGCTTTGTGCTTCGACTTCCTGCGCTGAACCTGACCGTCAACATTTCGCCATTCCTTCACTGGGTCACTGGGGCTTGTGCCGGAGAGTCGGGCATGTCAGATGCCGATGGGATCGACCCTGTGGAAACCGCACGAAGCGAAGCATCATGGCAAGCAATCCGAAACAGCAGGAACAGAGACTAACGGTGCTAGGGTAGCGTCAGTCTGTGCCATGCGTTGTTCGTTTGAGGTCCCAGCCCGTGAGTTGCGATGCCATGGAGCCGGGCGACCCTCCTGCCCATTCCAAGGTCGCAAGCTTGCCACCGCACTACAACAAAGGGCACATCTTCACCCGCAAGTGCACTCCTCCCAAGGAGACGGAGCCAGTCGAGGCACCTCCTGAACACGGCAGCTCATCAGCGTCACTTCTTCACAACACCAGCACCACAAGGCCCGTGATGCAAATCCAGCCATTTGTCCGCACAGGTTCGTCCGAAAAGCAAGTAGCCAAGCGACCTCCCAATGAAGCCGTCGAGTCTGACGAAGCTCCTGCAGGCCACAGGCAGGCACCCATGCAGGACCAGCTTGGAACATCATTCCCGACCTCCGCCAAACAGGTCTGAGGCTCCTGAAAATTGCTTTACAATGTGTCCAGTGACAAACG